ATACAACAATATATATATATATATATATATATATATATACTTCTCAAATAAAACATTATACGTGTTAGGGAAAATTGTCATCAATATCGTAGTCAACCCAATATGATGTAAACCTGAAAATATAAGTGTCCGAAGTGGCTTCGATGCGGCTCGGAAGTGACTCCAACGTGAAAGTGATAAGCTTTCGAGGTATCGCTTACACTAAGATTAATATCGGGAGGACGATAAGAGGCATATTAACAATTAATCATCATTCGATACATAAGCACCATATGGAAGTTAACGCAGAAGAAAAAAGATTCATGTTGTCATCGCCTATTTGCTTGCATGGATAATAGTCTAAGATATATTATTCAGACCTATCTCCCTCAATCGCCCACGAGAACAAAACGCTAAGAGGTGGATGTTGGAGTAGTTATAAATTATCTCCTCCAATGTTATGTATAAAAGGTGATCTCCGATGCTACGCTAGGAGGCTAATTTTTAGGAAAAAATTATATTCATTAATGACCTCAATGACTAACTTGAGTATCAGAATGATTTGATCGAAAAACTTTTTTTAATATTGGTCTTAGTGCAAACGACATATCGGAAGCTCGACACTTTCATCTCGGAGCCATTTCGGACATTCGACGCCTTTGAATTTGGACCAATTGATTGAGATGCTCGCTATAATTTTTCTTAACAATACGTATCCTAAACCATATTATACGTATAAGGCAGTAGTGGCCAATACCTCGTGTTACTTTTCTTGCAATCATGGATAAAGTTCGATCAAGCAACAATGAATCAACGCCTCTCTCTCTCTCTCTCTCTCAAGCTTCGACATACCATTTCAGCAACATGCATGGATTTTCTTTCAATCAAGTCGACGAGTTCCCTTTCTTGACCACCGTCCCCTTGAATCATTTACGACAGCATTGAAAAAGGAAGCATTGTAGCAACAGTGAGAAACAACAAAAGCCACATTTGATGTTGCAGTAGTACATTGACTGAAGCGTAGATTTGTATTACATTTGCCATCTTCTCTTAACGACAGGGACGCCAACATAGACAGCTGTGCCTGAAAGTATGGCCACTCTCTTTACTTCAAGCAATCAACTGCTTTCAAGGTGACATAACCTGCTGAAATGATCGAGGAGCTGCGTGTCCTCTTTGAAGCAAGTCCTTATTTGCAGGCCACATCAAAAACTCATTCAGATATCAAGCACATCATGCGACAGTCCAGATTGGCTGTAAAGTGCGCCTCGTCTTTTCCAATCTGTATGATGCTAAACTAAAATAAAAGTCCAAAAGTCAATGGAGGCCATTTCTGATGTTTGTAATGATTGGGTGATATTTTTATGAGCTTTTGAAGAAGGATATCATCACCTTTCTTGTCGTGCAAATCTACAAGGTTAATTTGAGTATGCAAGGCTTTGATGCTTATCATAGCATCAGTCTCCATGAAAATAGAATTGGATTTGTCATTTGGACCGCTATGGATGCCTCGTACAATCGCCTCAACAAGAACAAAGGGATCGGCATTTGCAGGAGGAAGACGCCACTGCTTTTATCTTCTCTTTCCCAAAAGAAATGCAATATGCAAGGAAGTTTCTCAGCTCAGCTGAGGCTAAAAGTCAACAGGTAATGCTGAGTTCCATTATCTGCATGATGGAACCTTTAAGGACATCACTCTAGCTTGCTCTTATCCTGAGTTGCTCCCTACTTAGCAGTGGGTAAAAGTCAGCTTGAGATGCGACTTATTGTGGCCCTGATTGTGACTGGGGGATTTAACAGGACATCTCAATTGCGAGAAATGAGAGAGATGTAATTACTGCTCCTATCATCCACACCAAAGGCCCCTTCTTTCTTTCCTTATCCAACCTCAGGAACAACCAAGTGGCAATGGATTCAAATCACTGTCTTCGTTGTCCCAATTACTATTTTGTCAATGCCTTCCCCTCTCAGATGTTTTGTCAGACAGGGAGAGATACACTGTGTATTCTCAAACGATCAATAGCTGAAAATATATATTTAGTATGATGCAGATGAATTAAAATAGCTCAAAATATGTTTTAGTAGTACAGCATAGGATTTCTGTGTTGATGAACAATCATCTAAAGGCCAAAGCAATCTACTAAAATGGACAGGGCAGCCTCTGTCCCAATGCCTTGTTGTGGTTGGTGTGATTTGGCTTGGCTTACAACAAGGGAAGGCTCTTCCCTTTTCTTTGCTTTGCTCCCTTCGTCGCTTGGGCTCGAGCTATCGGCATACAAGATTGAGCTGCATCTTCTGCAAAGCCTTTCTAGCTCTGCAGAGCAGATCTCTACCACGCTTGGCATCTGTAATTGACTGATACAGAACCAAGAAGAAGAAGAAGAAGAGAACGATGTTTGAAGTAGTATGTGAAGGAAGCTAATGGCTGTAATGGAGATGTGGAGAATCAAGACAATGCCTGTGGTCTTATAGCAAGTTCTCACCTTCAAAACAGGGGGTCATAGTTGTGCCAGCCCACAGGCTTTCTTCGGTGCTCTGCGGCGAGGTGAAGCAGCCCCTTGAATCAGGAGGTCGCTTCCAGTTTTCCCCACAGGAAAATTCGCCTGCGCCCTTTTCCTTATCTGCTATTTGTTGCCAGTCCCATCAAGAGGAACCTTTGTGGCCCAGTTTACACCAGCAACATGAAGACAGTCAATAAGTTGGCTTGTACAAGAAACTTTTGGGCCGTGTCAGGGATTTCCATGGATTTCATGTTTTCAGACTCAAATCGATGTCCGATCATTATAATAAATTTTATAGAATTCTCTTGACAATTTTGGGTAGAGCTTTAGATGTAGCAACTATCCATAGAGCATAATGTGAGCAGCAATTGGGATCTCAGTCCCCAAAAACAGAGAATTCTCTTCAGAGCTTCGAGGAGAATAAAAAAGTACTGCTTGCTTAGTAAGATCGTGAGCAGTAGTATTTAATAACGATGATCACATTCTCAAAGTACAAAACTTTGATCCTCAAAACATCAGAACAGATATTTCTTTGGTGCTAGCGAATAGCCTTCGATCTATTAGAAATGAGGATTGCTTGAAGGTAATCAGACTTGACGATAATATTAGACTGATTCAACTAGGAGGCATTCCATAATCTGTCAAGAATGGCTCAGATTTTAGCCTGAAGAGGGCATGTTACTTGGTGGATGTTGGATCCCTCAAACACAGTGTCCCTGCTGATCAAGAATGAGCCACCACGGAATATAGCAAAAGAGTCATCTGGGTGTCTACTACTCTGTTCATCTGCAGAAGAGGCAAGAAAGGAGGTGTCCTCAGGCACCATGCTTTCAGCACTTTTCCTACTGTTTCAGCCAACCACCACTCGACCAATGAAGCATACTGGAAGACCAGAAGCTCAGATTGGATTGAAGTCTCAACAGGATTTAGCAAAATTGCAAGAGAAATAGGATGTGTTCTGCAGAGTCTATTCCTCCTTGACAAACGCAACACTGATCTACGTAACAGTGTATTATGTATATAAGCCAAAGGGAAGTCGACAGTATATATATATATATATATATATAGGATGTATTCTGCGGAGTCTATTACTCGACAGAAGCAACACTGATCTACGTAACAGTGTATTATGTATATAAGCCAAAGGGAAGTCGACAGTGTATATATATATATATGTGCGATCATACGCAAAAGAGGACATGAGCTGTTAGATTAATATATATATATATATATATATATATATATATATATATATATATATATATATATATATCTTTTTCGTTGAATATGTCGACGCTAAACCCGACCAACATTGAGTCTGAGATTGAACCGGACAAATAATTCGAGTTGAGACTGAACCGAACCAGCTCCTCGCACTAGTCACGAAGCACTTTCTTCATCCTCGAACCTTCTCTCGCCAAAACCACCCGCAAACCTTCGCCGACGTGAAATGGCTTGGAGAGGCTCGATCTCCAGGTCGCTTCTCGCCGCCGCGCGATCCTCACCTCCGCGACGGCCGTCGATTCCTTTTCGCCTCTTCCCTCCTTCCCCTTCTGTCCCTCGCCGCCGACTCTCCTCTGCTCCCTCACGGTACTTTCTTACCCCTGTAACTTTCATCTCCGCTGATCCCTTCCGCTCTCTCAATTTGTGTCCACGCAGGTCTTTGGGGGAACTAGGATGCGTGCAGCTTCTTATTCCGCTGCGGGTGGTGGCGATTTCTCCCTGCCTCACCTCCCATCTGTCGGCCAGCGTGAGAGCCTGCTGTGAGCTTTCTCAGGGTAAATCTCGTCGCCAGATCGCTAGCTAGTCTTCTTCAATTTGCCTTTTGATCGATTTCTCACACTGCTAATAATGAGAAATTACTGGGAAATGATTTTATAGATGTTTGCATATCCTTTTTTCTGTAGTTCTTCTCTCTACTAGATCTGTTTCTTCTCAAAGATGAGTTTCTTGGTTGATTCAAGACAATTGGGTTTGGGATATGATAGGGAGGAACGGAAAAGATGGGTGATGCAAGAGGCTGAGTATTGGTTCGAGGCAGAAGGATGGTGCTATTGTTTCAAGTTATTGTAGGTTTCCTCGCTTCTTAATTATTTTCTAACTAATTGGCATCCAGAGATAGGTTCAAAATAAAGAAAAAAATGGAAAAAAAGTTTTTGATCACAAAAGTATCACATTTGTTTTTACTCCACTATTAGATTATTCTAATTTAGTAGGATAAATAAATTCTACATGCTAGTAAGAGTCTTTTTTTCTTGCTGGCAGCTAATGTTGTTTGAACCTAAACGTAGTGCATTGGAAGCAATTGCAGTTGGTCAATGTGATGGTACTATAGATCCTAGTTAGCTAACATTGTTTTGCAGATGAAACCTTTGACTTATGTATTTTTTCCTTATTTGGGTTTGCAACAGAATTGATAGAAAAAAATCCAACTGCAGTCTAGTTAACATGCATGATATTAGAGGCTTTTAATGCATTGGTAGCAACATAATTTTTGGTTTGTATTCTTTTATTCCCCATCCTTGAATCTATTTGAATCCTCTACTTATGACAGCTTTCTAAAGCATGAAATTTAAAACTAGTGTTAGAAAGATCTAGGTTCATCAATGAATGTCATTATTATATTATAGTTGTTCTGAGCTTTTAGTACTTAGATTCAAGATCTTTCGTGACAGCTTATACTAACAAATATGCAGTTTTGGTTTCTTATGGTATGTCAGGGCTGAAAATTCTCTTGATTTTTGATTCACCCATCTGATAAGTTAAAATCTATCTAGATTTGTTTATATTCTTAAAACTCAATGCTTTGTGTCATTATATCCATAAAATGTCCCTCGTATTTCAAGGTCTTGTGGGGTACGTTTAACTAAATTTGGAAGATCATATGAGAATTATAGAGTTTGGACAAAAATCTACATATGATGCTAGTTGATGTTCTCATCATAGTTATAAAAGAGCATTGGTTCCTTCTGTATGAAGAAATTTTTCTGTATGAAAAGTTCTGTTACTATTTCAAAGCCTGGTCCATCTCAGATCATTGGGGACAGAATTGTATTAGGTGCTTGAGAGTTTTACTATTGTGTCATCTGAATAAGTGGGGGCCACATAGTGACAATTGGGAATAGTCAAGCTAAATATATTTGAGTTTCTAAATGTAGTTGCACGTGTAACCAGCAAGTCGTTGCTATAATTCTGGTAAACCCATCCACATAAAAAGACAATATATGCTAATTGTAAACAAGGAGGTCTCTGTCTAACACTAAACTGCAATAGGGACCTTCTGTATCAGAACTGTAGTGGAGAAGAAATTAGTATGATGGGACGTCAATTACTATAAGTAGATGATAGTGTCTTCTATAGATGCCATATAAGTAAAATTAATATGATTTTTGTTTTTCTTTATGGACCTGAGCAACGCATCTTTCAACTCGATTGTTATAGCTTTCTATCATCGTAATTGTTAGTAGATATTATCAACTCATTCCAAATTTCTTTAAAACACAAAAGCCCAATGTAAGATTAGTCATGCTTTGTGATGAGTAGTTGCAGATGAGGTTTCAACTTTGTTAGTTTATCATATTTCAGTTCTATTTAGTCATGAATTGCACAAAAAAGTCTGTTTGAGTTGACGCTTAAATGCAAACTAGTATCAGTACATCTGTCTTCTTTAGTTCAACTAGTAGAGGTTTCAATTCTTGATCTTGGATATGCCTAGAAGATTGAGTTCAATCCCTTAGGTGTGTGAGATTTTGTCTGTAATTATTATTTATTGCATCAAGCATAAAGTGAACGAGATTGTAATACTGATTTCTTATTTTTGGCATCGGAAATTAAATATGCTATGTCTCTTTTAATTCAAGTGTTAGAGTTGTTGTCTGACAGCTATGACTTTAATGTTTTTTCGCCTGAAGCAGGGACGTGAAGGAATCAGGGCTTATCACCGAGTTGCTAAAAGCTTCACTGGATTTTCCATACCTATGGTAAGGAAAACTCTTCACTTGCTGTTAAGTATCTGTAAGAGTAGTAGAAACTTTTGGTGGTCTCCTTTGATCGATGTTTGAATCTCCCAAGGTTTATGATTTGTGGAACCGATATGAAATTGCCCGTGATAACCCTCCAGTGAGAAATTGTGAACATGAGAGAAAAATTGCAGTTGTCACTGGATATTTCACTTGTCTTCCGAAATGCTTGCTCATTTTTGTTTGGTCTGACATCATATTGTGGATTGTATTTTAGTGTTCTACAATATCTGTTGTCGAGAAGAACTTCCAAAGTCGCATTAAACAGCACAACTAAGAAGTCATATTTTATTTATTTTATTTTCTTGTGGTATATAGTTGTTGGGTTCAGATTCAAAGGCAATGTAGTCTGGAGAGGACATTATATCCTTGACCTGAGAGGGTGAGACTAATCTGAGTGGGTCAGACCCGATCTGTGCCCCGGTCTCCGACCAAGCTGTGGTCAAACCAAGACTGCCAAGTGTCAACATATCTAGCCTCTTTCATCATTTTGAGAAGAGGTTGTTGGATGACATTGCAAGGCGGCTAAGCGGGACGGAATCCCATCCACGTTCGAGAATCTATTTCATGTCACCGATGTTTCTTTTGTAGAAAAATATGCACGCACATGATTGGTCCGAAAGGTTTTGCCACATGATTCATTCACCAAAATATTGGACAGCTTTCTTAGTGGCCAAAAGTCAAACCTGGAGACATTTGTTTTTGGTTTGCTTTCCCGTATGTGCTTCTGTGACGCATGGGCTTACCTCACGCCCCAGAAGTGTACATGTCACCCACCTCGATGTCTTGTTTCTTTATAGTTAAATCTCCCAATCTTCCACGGTGGGTAATTTGCTTCTCAATTAAGTACCAGTCTTCCCCCAATTCTAGTTAATTAGATTGCTTGCACCCTTGTGAATCTAATTGGAGTACATGAAATTGCCTATTAGCTGATAAAAATCTTAACTATTAGCAATGTTATGCACGATATAATTTCTATTGGAAATTAAGATTAAATTATCTTGTTCCACGGTTCCATCACGGTTCCAGAAAAGAGGAAACGTCGAGGAACCAACCTACTTGGCCATACCGGTCAACCAAATTATCTTGTACTTCCAGAAAAGGCCCTCGTGAGTGTTCTATTATTTCCCAAATACTAGACATGTAGCATATGTAATTTCGTAAATATCGCCAACTTTCAGCCCTTTTCAGAATTCTACTATCCTTATACAAACCCCCTGAGCAAGGAACTTTGCGGCCTCTTTCGTACTCCGCTTCCGCTGTGCTCGTTTCAGTCGGTCGCCTCTTGGGCTCCTCCCACAGAGGAGCTCCCCAAGCCAACACTCTTTGACCCTAGTCCCCAATCCTTCTCCTTCCCCGTAATCCCAGCTTTCCAATCTCCGGCGATCTCGGAACCCAGAACCGTCGATTAAGCTCCTCCAATTCCCCTTTCTCGATCCCGGTTCGGCTTCCTCCGTCGCCGGAATGGGATCCGCTTTCTGATCTCCCGCATCTTTCCCTCCTCGCGCTCCTCCTCCGTCCCCGTGTATCCCATCCTCCGCCGGTTTTCCGAGATTGCAACTATGGCGATCCGCGTCACCGTCTCCTTCTCCGGTTACCTCGCCCAGAACCTCGCCACCGCCGCCGGGATCCGCTGCGGGGGGAGCTGCCGGCTCTTCCACGACGCTGGCCGCTCCCTCGCCCTCTTCACCGGTCAACGACCCGACCATGACCACTCGCCGGCCTTCCCCCTCCGATCCGTCGCTCGCCAGGACTGGCCCAAGGCTCCCCTTTCCGATCCCGCGGTGGCGAAGGACCAGGGATCTGCTCTGGTTGCCGCCCTGCTATCTGCCATCGCGTCCGGCTCCGGTTCGAAGGCTGGCGGGTTTGGCGCCTTCGGCGTTTCGTCCATGACGAAAATGGGCTTGAAGCCGTCGTCTTTAATCCCGTTCTTCCAGACGTCGAAGTGGTTTCCGTGCAGCGAGTTCCTGCCAGGTTCGGGAGAGCTCGGCCCGATGGATAAGGGAGGAACGAGTTCTTCAAATCCTTCTAGGGATGAGGGAGGAAGGGCTCCTTCTGGGGATGCGATCAGAGACGCAAAGGAAAGTTCTTTTTCTGGCCCCAAGGTGACTCTGGCTAAAGGTTTGGACAGTAAATTTGATATGATGTTCTCCCGCGATAAGAACAGCTGGGTCTCGCGGTTACTGAGCTCTTGCTCAGACGACGCCAAGATGCTCCTTGCTGCGTTGACTGTTCCGCTGCTGTATGGATCGTTCTTGGCAGAGCCGAGATCGATCCCTTCCAAATCAATGTTTCCGACATTTGATGTTGGCGATCGAATTCTAGCTGAGAGGGTAAGAACTGATTCTCTCTTTTGTAAGTAAAATTTCAGTTAATAGTTACTTTGGATTTGACCTTTTCAGAATCTGATGGTACAAGAACTATTCAGTCTGTGGGCATTTAGTTTTAGTGTGATCTGTGAGGTTTTGATTATCATATAAATTGATTGTACCCTTATTGGGACAGATGATTGTGTTTCATATGGATGAAATTTTTAAGTTGTATTCGCAATAGTATCAGGGAGAAATTATAAGAAAACTATTTTGATAATTCTCTCTTTCTAACTTCAATTCTTAGGATTATACAAGTTAGTATTTGGTATCATATGAATTGTGGCTTTTGTAATTAAGTTTATTTTGATAATATTTGTTTTGTGCTTGTTACAATTGCAGGTTTCTTATCTGTTTAGAGAACCTGAAGTCACAGACATTGTGATCTTTAGAGTTCCTTCAATCCTTCATGTATGGTTGGTTTTGCACTCTAGTTATATGTCAGATATTTACCAGAACCAAGTATGGTGGTTCTGATGATTTGTGACAGTAAAACTAATGAGGTTTTCCTTTATGCAGGAATTTGGGTTTGGTTCCAGTGATGTCTTCATCAAAAGAGTTGTGGCAAAGGCTGGCGACTATGTTGAAGTAAGCTTATATTCTAGTTGTATTAGTTCCATTTTTCTTGCTTTTGTATGATACATTTGTTCTCTATACCCAAATGATTTGCTGATGACTTAGTACTTGTCGTTCATGTCAGGTCCATGATGGTAAACTATTGGTGAATGGTAGCATCCAGGATGACGAGTTCATTCTTGAGCCACTTGAGTACGAAATGAAGCCAGTGGTATGACATATGTTCTGATTTTCTTGATTTTTCGTAAATTGAAATAAATTTCTATCATCCTGGGGAACCATGGTTTTGGTATAAATTATAGTGCTGTCATATAGTGCCTTCTTATTACTCCATGATTCAGGAGAACTTAAATGTATGGTAGGATATGTTCTTTAAGTGATGTTAATACTTAATGTCTTACATGATATGTATAAGTTCCTGTAAACCTAAGAAATTCTTTATTGCTTAACAATGATATCACAGTTTTCTGATATCTGACATTTTGATCTCGACATACATTTTTGCTAAAAATATCTGTTTTAACATTGATTCCTTAAGAAACTGCGTCTGAATTCTATACGGACTGTTGGCTGCTCTTATGCAGTTTGTGCCTGAAGGTTGTGTCTTTGTGTTGGGAGATAATCGTAATAACAGCTTTGACTCTCATGACTGGTGAGTCCTAAACATAACTGGAAACATCAAATTCTGGATGCTGATATAAAAGCTTTGATTCACTGTTTTCTAAGCCAATGGTACATTAAAATTAGTTATGAACTACTTTAGCCTGACAACTATTATTTTGTTGTTTCAGGGGGCCTCTCCCAGTAAAGAACATACTTGGAAGGTCGGTGTTCCGTTACTGGCCTCCATCAAAAATCTCAGACACCATCTATGAACCAAATATGATGCAGAATGTGATGGGAGTTTCTTGATGCTTCTTCTTCTGCAAGGAGGACTTCATGGGATGGATAAGGTGGATTTTCCAAGAGTTCTTGCCCTTATTTTTTGTTATCTTCTTTTCCTTTTTTTTTTGGTTGTCCATTCGTGGACAATTCCAACCACTGTTCAACTTTGGTTGAATTTGTTGTGCCTGTTCCTTTAATAGGATAATTTGTCAATCATTCAGAACTGTTTTATGGCATATTATCATGTGTTTTTACTTTAGCCACCAAAGTAGCGGTGGAGTCTTTAATATTGATCGTTTTTGCTTTGCAGGATCCATCTAATGGTTGCTTGAAACTTAATTCATCTACATTCTAGATCAGGAACCATTTATTTGTCTTTGTGCATCCTGTCAACTTTTAGGAGTTTGGTTTAGGCGGGGAATCAAAATGCAAGGAACCTGCCATACAGCTGCTTTGGACCGATGAAGTCCTAATGTTCTTTGTACCATTTGATGCTGCCATGGGAATGTAAAAAAGCCAGATGAAGATTCCGACCAACCTACTAAATTGAGGTTGGGGCTTTCTGCAATACCAAATTCATTTGTTATTATCTGTTGATCTCCTTCCAGGCATGAAATAACTTGTACCGAGGCATGCTTAAGCAACATGCAATGATCATAACAGTCATATTTGCATCTTTGATGTCAGCAAATGATTGATCGATCATGAGTGCTCCAATGTCCCAATTACCTGCAATATGAACTTTGGGAAACATGCTCACGGGAAGTGTACTCAATAGGTGGGGGAAAAAAATATCCTTGTGAACTCTCTACGTGTATTGGGGGTCGTCAAGGTTTGTATGCGATGCTGCGATCACTTTGCGCTTGTCATCGACACATTCAAAGTCCAAACTGTGAAATGATCTGTGTGTCATGGGAATTCAAGTTTACTCTGTGAAATTGTCAAACCATCGATACTGGAATCATTCTTGTGGGTTAGCGTTGACAGATTATTTACCTCAGTTGTGCTAATTTCTTTCAACCTTAACCTTATTGTGTGCCTTATTTACGTCTTGCATAAGTATCATTTTGTCATCATCTTGTTAGTACAAATACAGGTCTACATGTAGAGCTTAAACAAACAGTCCATTGTAGCTAAAGAAACAGCAGCAAAGGGATGGTGCATTGACAATTCTACCTACTCTGCGGACGGTGCCTGCTAGTCTACATTCTTATCATCATCCTATTATGAGAATCTAGCTTAGCGGTCCAAAGCAGCTGAATCGATGGCTAATTATAAATTACCATATATAGTTAATTATTTTTAATATTTTTATTTTTATATTTTTAAAAGTTATATTGGGATCCTTATATTTATGAAAGTAAAATATTTAATCTCGTTTCTCCTCGTGTCGTCGACTCTGATGAAGAAAATATTGCATGTGTTGTCAC